AGAATATAGAAATTAGATATGAAAATCTTTGGAGCTCTTATGAATCTGCAGAAGGCATTGTTTATAATGCATGGAAGAAGAAGGGTCATGGGGATGCTGCTGATGTCCTCAAGAGAAAGATAAAAAGATCATTAAAAAATTTATATTATTGGAGCAAGAACAAGCTGAGAGAACTGTATTTGAAGAAACAAGTATTGCAAAAAGATATTTTATGTCTACAAGAAGAGGAGGCAAGTGAGGGTGGAATAGGCTCTGATAAACTACTACAATTAAGAATGAAAGTACAAAAGCTCAATACTACATTGGCTAGACTGGATACATGGTGGAGACAAAGATCAAAAGTACAATGGAAGGAAGAAGGTGAAAAAAACACTCAATTCTTTCACACCTATGTTACGGCTAGGAAAAATGGCAGCATGATTAATCAGATAAAAGATGAAAATCGAGTTCTTGAAATAGATCCAGAAATAATACATAAAATCTTTGAAGATTATTTCACAAATAAATGGAGAAGCCGAAGTTATAATCTCTCTAAATGGCCTGAATTTAGAAGAGAAGATTGTCTGAAGAAAGAGGAGATAGAAATGCTGAATACAGATTATACAAAAGAAGATCTATATAAAACTATAATGAAAATGAACAACAATAAATCACCAGAAGTTCATGGAGCAAATGCTTGTTTCTTCAAATCTTATTGGAGCATTGTAAGGGAAGATACATGGAATGCAATTAATGACTTCTTCACAAAGGGATAAATGCCTGAGGAGTGGAAAGATACGGCGGTGGTCCTTATACCAAAGGGCCCGGATCCTTCAATTTGCTTGAAATTCAGGCCATTCTGTTTATGTCAAACAACATATAAAATTACAGCAGGAATGATTCTAAGTAAAATTAAAACATGTCTCCCGATATCATTTCAAATTATCAAGGAGCCTTTATTTCGGGGAGAAGCATATCTGATAATTGTCTCTTGGCTCAAGAGATTGTGAATAAAATGAGGTATTTGGTGGCAAAACCTGGTTATATGTTATTCATGCTTGACATGGAACAAGCTTATGACTCAATGTGCTGGGAGACATTGAATCAGATGTTAGAGATCATTGGATTTCTAGATAAGATAAAGAAGTTGATTTTACAATGTGTTAGCAATCCTAATTTTGTAATTAGAATAAACGGAAGAAACACAAATTGGATAAAGGCTAAAAGCGGATTTTGACAGGGATTTCCGTTATCCTCGAGCCTTTTTGTGATATTCTTGGAATTATTATCTAAGGACTTACAAGCAAAGAACAATAAGATGGGCATTAGATTGGCTCCAAATGTAGAAGAAGTTACCCATTCACTCTATGAAGATGATGTAATAGTTGTTGGAAATGCTATTAGAGAAAATACTATCATTTTAAAGAAAGTCCTACATAGATACTGTGGATAGACTGGACAAATAATCAACTCAAAAAAATCCCTGGTTCTATTCAACAAGAACGTCCTGAGAAGGAGGAGAAGAATAAAAAATTTGATGGGAGTGACTAAAGTTAAGGAGGTCAATTATTTGGGTATAAAACGGGCTCTTAGAAGATTGAAGGCTTCAGATTACAATTACTGCATAGAAAAAGCACTGGAAAGAACAAACTCTTGGGGAACCCGTTGGATTTCCTTAACAGGAAGAATTTTGCTAATTAAAACTGCATTCTTTTCTATTATTTCATATTTAACAACTCACTCCCTCATCCCAAGGAGCATTTTATTGACAATTGATCGATTGAGCAGGAGTTTTTTGTGGCATAAAGCGAATGGAAAGTAGGGAATGCATTACATAGGATGCCCGACTTTTTGTTTGCCAACGAATTCAGGTGGCTTCGGAATTCTAGGAGCAGCAGATAGATAAGGACCACTAAGAGCAAGATTAGCATGGAATATCTTAAATAATAGGAATTATGTTTTAAGTGTAATTCTTATTAAAGGATACGACAATAGCATATGGGAAGAGGGAACAAAGAGGAATTCTTCCCTAACATGGCGCATCATCAAGGAAGGTGCAAAATATTTAAAGCCAATTATAAGATGGAAGATTCATACAGGGAGAACATTGATATTCTAAAGGATACATGGTTACTTGACAGAAATTTGGAGGATTGTCCATCAACATCCAAAGCAAATGAGCAAAGTGGAAAATTGGTTTCTTTCTTAATAAATGATGATGGTTTATGGGATAAGGTGAAAGTGAAGAATTACTTTGCTGAGGAAATGGGACAGCTGGTACTTCAAACACCAATTGGTAATGAAGCAAGAGAAGACTCGGTTGAATTGAAAAGCAATGAAATAGGAAGATCAATTTCTTCACCGTCATATGAAGCAAATACCATAAATCAGAATGATGAAGTTTTTAATATGAAATGGATCAAGAAATTACAGTTATCTCAAAGAGAATATCTATTTTGGTGGAGATTATTGAATGATGCACTACCAACCAATGTATGGCTTAATCACAGAAAACTGTTTTGCAGGAATGAATGTCCAAGATGCTGTCAAAGGGAGGAAGATATAGAAGATGTTGTAACAAGCTGTGTTAAATTACAAGAGTTATTGATTACAATTAGGAAGTGGGGAATCAATGTTCCAATGTTCCAAAACAAGAGTCAATGCATTGATGAATTACATATTTCAGATAAAAGTAAATCCAGCTTAGCTAAAATTTATGCAGTGGCTGATTACCATAACTGGAAAGTGCGTAATATTATAAAGCATGGGAAGACGGCTCCATCAACATACTTTATAGCAGCAAAAATTCTAGCAAGCTTTTGTTAACCTCATTTGATCCCAACTGGAAAGAACTGGGACTCCAATCAGCAAATGCTGTCTAAAGCTTGATGTCCCCCACCTAAAGGTTGGTTCAAGTTGAATGTAGATGCATTAGTTTTAAAATCAAATTTGGCTGGTATAACAGGAGTTCTAAGGGATCATAAAGGAAGATTGATGTGTGCTTATGGAAAAAAACTTATCCATTGGGATGTGGCTTATCTGGAATTAAAAGCTATACTTCATTTCCATAACATCCTACAAGATTGGATGAGTGTGAATAGAGGTATAATTACAGACGGAGACAATGTGAATATTAGGAATAAGTTCCAAAAAGTTACAAAATTGAAGGAAAAGAATAAGAAGCAGAGTCAGATTGATCTTGATTTCCTTGAAGTTTTCAATAACGTTGTTTTTAATTTGGTCCCTAGAGAATGTAAAAACGTTGCAGATTATTGCACAAATCAAGCTTTATTAGAAGATTTTTTTTGGGACACTTTTTTAAACACAGAAATCCCATCAAGATTTGTTGACTTGATTAGGGATGGCTGTGATAGGTTTATCTTTTCTTAAAGTTTATTGTAATAGTTTCTTTTAGCTTTTAATGCAATTTACATTTTTATTCAAAAAAAAAAAAAAGCGAACATCTTGCATTTAGAAAATGCATCCATTAAAAAAAACCACAAATTGGAAAACAATTTTATGCTATAAACAAAGGGTTATCTACAATCCTACAGAGTGTTTGCACGCAAGAGCATTAGTTTTTGGGATACTTTTAATTTCAAATTTCTATGCTTGAAATTATGATATGTTTACCTTTGATAAACTTTGATGATCAGCTCTACAATTAAAAAATAATAAATTTATTTATAATTAATCAAAAAATATGGGAATACATTTTTCATAATAATACCTCATGATTTTCTTGGGAAGAAAAATTATAAATTGTGTTAACAATTATAAAAAAATTGGAACTTGTAGAATTATAAAAAAGATATATTTTTTTAAAAAAACTTTGTTTATGTTTAATGTTTTCCCAAGAATTATATATTTTATCTTTTTTTTCTTATAAAAATCATGGAATGGCTGTTAAAAATTTCTATCCTATAACAATCGAAATTTTTATGCGCTTACTATTATTAGATTAAGGTCATCCAAACAGTTTATATCTCAAAGGTTTTTGTTATTTTTTTCATTACCTGTCATAATTATTTGAAATTTAATATGAAAATATGTGTAAAGGCTCTCCCCTCTTTAAGTTCTAGGGTGAACTGAGAAAATTTCAATATTAATTTAAGGTTAATCACACTTGTATGTATTTCTTGGAGAAAAATAATCTAGCGGAGGTGGGAGATATGTGGTAGTCCTAATTATTATACTCACCATCACTCATAATGCCAATGAAGTGAATTGATTGAAGATATACCTCTTTAAATGAAAAATAAAAAAAAATAAAAAACAAATACACAAAGTCAGTAGGTAGAGCACTTATTGAATGATCAGGGTGGCTAAAGTAATGGTATGATCTCCAAACTATGCTTAGTAGCCTCATCATGGAATACCAAAGTTCAAGATGAAGGCCCTCGAAAGATATTACCCCTAGATGAAATAGAGTACCATTAATATATCTATATATCGAATTGGCTAGTATTTACTATAATTTATTGTATTATTATTATTTTTTTTTTGTTCTTATGATAATAAGCCCTTATATTTAGGAACCTCTAGTGTGGGCCTTACCTAAAAAGGGTGCCATAAAGGATTCCAAATCAACATGCTCTTTGAGGTCTTTTAGATGAGAAGACTTTTGCCTATTTTCTTACACTCTAGTGATTTGAAGAAATTTAAATTCTTGTGGACATCTTTTGATAAAAAACCTTTGCCAAGCTTTATACTCTCTAAGGGTCCATTTTCTAGGCCGGGATTTATAAATAGAGACTCTTTGGTCTATCATAATGGCATAGTAAGGTTATATAATAATGAACCACCTTATAGACTTTTAAATATAGAGATAAGACATAGTAATAATCATAATTAAAAAATTTTATAAAGTCTGAAAGAATATATAGTAATTATATGAGAACATCTGGATTTTTCTAGAGAGAGAAAGTCCATCTTCCTATTTTTTAATTTCATTTTTCGTGTGGTTTCCGCGATCGGTGGTGGTGGCTTCGGATGATCACCGGCGTTGTTTTGGCGGCATCATGAACGTTCTGCGACCAAGCGGATCTCTACGTCCCAATGGTAGAGGTTTGAATGGTATTATGATCAGAGAAGGAGAAGTACCCCGTTGCCGTCAAGTTCCAGTTGATGGTAAGGGAAAGAATTTGTTGGTCGAAAGTATGGTTGGGAAGAAAAGTTTGGGTGTGAAAAGAAATCCAAGTTTAGCAATTCTTGAACCATCGGCTTCGAATGCTTTAATTCTTCGTGTGAACAAATTTTCTGAAGTTCTTGATACTCTTAAAGGGCGTAATATCGAAGACGACTTGACATCGGTGGAAGCTCTGAAGGAGGTTAAAAATTTGGAGGATCGTAGTTTAGATTCTGTAGATCCTGAAATCCAGAAGAACAAGATTAATGAGGTTGCTGAAGCTTGGTCGAAACCGAAACCAATCAAGATATCATTCAATAGAGATCACGTTGAATTTTCAAAGGATGGCATTGCTGTTAAATTGAATGCTGATATGGAGGCAAAGAATTCTCAAATTTTAAATAACTAAGTGGTGATTAAAGTATTGGGTAATAATGTGCCTTTTTTGATTTGTAATACATAATTGAGAAGGCAATGGAGAAAATTTGGTGGATTCCACTTGACGTCTATTGGTATGAACTGGATTTTGTGTTCATTCCATACGAGTGAGGTGGTTGAAGATGTTCTGAACGGTGGACCCTGGTATGTGAACGGATCCATTGTTGGTATGGATAGGTGGTCGACAACATTTGATCCGAATACGTTTAAAGGAGTTTCGGCACCAGTCTAGATTAGACTTCCGTGCCTGCCTCTGTATTTCTGGGATGAGGACAATATTGCAAGAATTGCTTCTTGCTTGGGCACGCCAATGTACATTGATAGCAACACTTTCTACTGGGGTAAACGGGAGTTTGCTCGTGTATGTGTGATGATTGATTTGGAGAGGAAATTATTGAATGGTGTTTGGGTAGATGGCTCAGCTGGAAGGTTCTTCTAACGGGTTGAATATGAAAAAATTGATCTTCTCTATTATCAGTGTGGTAGAGTGGGTCATAATAGAGATATCTGCCTAGAAAATGTAGCCATTGGAATACAGAATCAAGGTTTAAAGGAGATGGAGGTAGTTAATGATAACAGTGAGAAGGTTGTGCCTGACAGTAAAACTTATGTGATTAGCTCCGAATATGGTCCTTGGATCCATGTTGACTTCAAAAATAAGAGAGGCAACAGAGGTAATGTTATTGGAAAAGGAATATATGCTAATAGGGTCAGCACTGCTATCAGGGGAAATATTAATAAGAAGGTTAATTTGCAGAAAGAAATAAAAATGATGAATGAGGAGGGTACTGTTGCTGGACATAATGTCCTGGTTCCAAATATTTCTTCTGAAACTGAAAATCTTGTTGGGAAAAAGAACTCAGATAATGTTCTAACCAATAGATTTGCAGTGCTGAGTGACAGTATTGAAGAAGAATGTATGGGGAATCATGCTGAAACTGATAAAATAGATGTAAGAGATCGGGAAAGTATGGATGCTAATATCAGTATTTATGGTTTGGGTTCACATAGTGGTGCTGCCAAGGTTAGGCTGTCCAAGGAATTGAGATCGTTGGGACCTGTGGAATTGGATTATAAGAAGAAGAAAAGGTATGATAGGTTGAACCCCAAGGATGGGGAGAGACCATCTGCACTTGTTTAATGTCATCCATTCTTTTTTGGAATTGTAGGGGGGCTAAAAAAAAAGAAGCCTCGCTATATTTGAAGGACATTGTTAGAGATTAGAATGTGTATTTTATTGGACTTATGGAGACCAAATTGTCTAGCATTGATAGAAGAGATGTTGATTATCTTATTGGAAAGGAATGGGAGTATTTTCATTACCCTGTTGTGGGTATTTCAGGAGGCATTCTGGTGTTATGGAACAGGAATTTGGTATCTTTTGACGTTATGGAGGCATAATCTCAAGCAATTGTGGGTAGTCTTTCGGTTCCCAGCTTGGGAACGTGGAAAGTTGCAACGATTTACGGGAGTAGATGTTGTAAGGAAAGGGGGAGCTTGTGGAATCAACTTCATGATTTTATGGAGGATTCAATTCCTTCCATTATTGGAGGGGATTTTAATTGTATCAATAACAAGGAGGAAAAGAGAGGAGGCAAAAGGTTCTTGTTTTCAAAAGGACCTAGGGAGATGAAGAGCTTTATGGTAAATTCATATTTTCATGATATTGGAAGTATTGGACCAAGATTTACTTGGTGTAATAACAAGGAGGGGACCTCTCGGATTTGGGAGAGATTGGATAGATGTATTCTAAATTCATATGTTCATGAACTGAATATTACATTGAGGCGTCTATCTACTTGGTGGAATCAAAGGGCAAAAGTAAGATGGCATGAGGAAGGAGATACGAATTCAAGGTTTTTTCGGAATTTTTCTTCGGCAAGAAGAAATGGAATCCATATTAATCAGGTCAAAGATGAGCTCAATATGATACAAGTGAAGGAAGATCAAATTGAGAAGGTTTTCACTAAATTTTTTGAGAAGAAGTGGAACTATAGGAAATGTGAGCTGACGGGTTGGCCGTTAGTTGATGAAAGCCAAAAGGTGAACGATGAAGATATGTTGATGCTTAATGAGGAATTCTCTGTCAATGAGTTGCAGCTCTCGATCTTTCAGCATGGAAACAACAAGGCTCCAGGTATTGATGGAGTTACTTCTTCTTTTTATAAGAGCTATTGGAGTATTGTTTGGGATACTCTTTGGAGTGATGTCAACCGGTTTTTCAAAACCAGCATTCTAAATAAGGAGTGGAAGGACACTTTAATTACTTTGATTTCTAAAGTAAAATACCCTTTGATTCCATCAAATTATAGGCCTATCAGCCTTTGTCAGACTAATTACAAAATCATGGCTAGTATGTTAGTTAACAGATTGAAGAAAGTTATTGGCAAGATGGTGTCTAAAGAGCAAGCAGCTTTCATTCCTGGAAGATCCATATCAGAACATTGTCTCTTGGCTTAGGAGGTTCTTCATTAGTTCAAATTATCCAAGAATAAGAAGGGGTTGATGGCTATTAAATTGGATATGGAACAGGCGTATGATAGTATGGGATGGATAACACTTCCTCAGGTTCTTAAGTGGTATGGCTTTCCTACTATGTTTTCTAA